GGGGGATGCTGATCGGGGATTGTCTATGCGTACTGTGTGTGTATTTTGGGCATATGTTATGCCGTACTGTGTGTTAATTTGTACTTAAGGCACTATGTTAGTGCCCTGTTTATTTGTATTATAAACTGCAAAATGAATAAAAAGATTTATAAAAAAAAAAAAAACTTAGTATGCACATTGCAGGGACCTACCAGAAAACACAGTTTGCACATATTGCGGGGAGCTGGCAGTTTACAGTGACGCAGAATTCTGCCAAATAATTTAGTGCAGACAGTGTATGTGTTGGGGGAGTGGAAAGAGACACCATAGAATGTAGTATGAACACTGGGGAAGAGATACCAGAAAGCAGTGTGGATAGTGGTGGAGGGATGCCAGAGAACAAGCATGGATGATGGGAGAAATACTAAAAAAGCATCATGTGGATAGCAGAAAGAGTCACCAGCGCATGGAGGTTGGGTGGTGGGTGGTGAGGGAGAGCTGTTAATTCCTTTTTAATTATCCAGTAATTAATCTGGCATTGGAAAGTTGTTATGGAATCAACACTGCAGCACATCGAGCATGGCAATTAGCAGGAGTGGCCCAAGAGAACAGTCTTAAAAGGTGTACTTTTTATGACTTTACTGCTCATACAGACTATATATTTTTAAAAGGTGATTATAAAATATGAGGCACTTTATGAGCTGAACAAGGTCACATTTCCCAGTACTGCTAGCTGTAATGATAAAATGTGTTAGACACTGTAATGCATGATCTCCTTAGGCCCTTTTTTACTGGGTGTGCACTAATCACCTGGGAGCCTTTTTAGTCAGTTTACAGCCTAGTCCTCAATTAAGCAAATATAGCAAACAGATGACATAATGGGGGCAAATAACAAAGGGAAATAAGTCAGTTTTGTGGTATACTTAAGTGCGCATTTTCCATGCACCAAATTATAAATGTTATAAGATAAGGTCTATGTGGTTTTGCACCAGCCATGCCAAATCATGTTAACAGTGCGATGTGACAATTTCTATAAATGTCTGATCATGGGCTCCAAAATAATGTAGCACTTGCACCAATGTTCTAATTTAAAAAGTTTTAAAATACAGTATACATCATTACCAGAGTGGTATAAATACTGTAGTGAGAAGGAGAAACGGTGACAATCAATCAGCAATGCAGCCAGGAGAGGAGAGAAGGATATGTATGGATGGCCTGCGAGGTGCAACAATACAGGAAGGAGGGGGAGGAGGAAATTTAGGAAGATCCCAGCCAAAGATAACCTGAGATTTGCACCAAAATATTGGTGCACGCCAAAGTAAGTGCACTAACATCTCTTGCACCACTACTATGTGACAAATTAACACATTTGCACCCACCACTATTATTAATTTGTTGCAGGAAAAGAAAATTCAACATCCATGTAGAAATTTACACTTTTTTGGTGTGCGTCAGCCTTTGTTAATCCCCCCAATGTGAAGGTTCACCCAAACTGATTAACTGAAACAAAAACAGCTGTGTAGATGGAATTAAACTGGGCAAGAGACAACGGTGCTTTTAAGACGAGGTGCAGCACATATGGTGGTTTACCCTTCAAATCTCACAACATGCCAAGAGTGAGCATAGCAAGACACAAGGTGGACACTGAGAAATAACAAATCTCTCATAAGCAGAAATGTTTAGGCAGACAGGAGTTTTCAGATTTGCTGCGCAAAACTGGCAAGATTGAGGACTAGCAGAGCAGTGGTTGGCCATGAAAAATAAGTGCAGCCGATAAACAAATACATCAAACTTACTGACACTTAAACTGTAAAATGCTCTGCACTTCTGTCAGCTCAGAACTGGCAAAAACACTGGAACGTGGTGCACCCTACTATAATCTAGAGAAAGCTGTGGACCCTGATACACTCTTCAACAATCTGCAGAACCTGGTGGTTCCTGGTACACTCTTCAACAATCTGCAGAACCTGGTGGTTCCTGGTACACTCTTCAACAATCTGCAGAACCTGGTGGTTCCTGGTACACTCTTCAACAATCTGCAGAACCTGGTGGTTCCTGGTACACCCTTCTACAATCTGCAGAACCTGGTGGACCCTGGTTCACCCTTCTACAATCTGGAGAAAGTTGTAACCAAAAAGCCATTCCCCCGAGATAGGAAAAAAGCCAAATTACTTACCTAATCACAAAAACACTAGGATACAGAAAAAAATTACCAAGTGTTCTAGATTGATTAGTAAAAATGTGAAGTACTTGCATGGCAGTTTGTCTGCCAAAGTTTTGGAGAAGAGTATGTGGATGAATGTCTGCAGGCAACAGTGCAACATGTAGGAGGTTTGGTAATGTATTTCTGCTAGGGGAGTGGGTGATTTGGTCAAAATTGATGGTTTGCTCACTGCTAAGAAGTACAGGCAAATTCTTATCCATCATGGAATGCTATCAGGTGGCTGACTGATCGGTCCCAACATCATTCTGCAATATGACAATGACCCTACACACACAGCTTAAATCATAAATATCTACATGCAGTGAAAAGTAGAAAGGGGAAACAATCTCAACATCACTGAGAAAGTATGGGATAACTTGTAGAGATAGAAGGAAGAAAACCGAACAGAAGGAAGGCAGCTAAAGCCTGAGCTGAAACTGTACCAAAGATGATTTCTGCTGTATTTAAGACAAGAGTGGTCATATAAAATACTGGTTAAATTGTTTTGCTTTTCAGTTGACAGCACTTTCTAGAAGTTTCTTGATTAATAACTATACATATAATTTTTGAGAGCATGGTCTTGAGAGCACTTCTTTATAATTAGGCCCCTAGGTACGTATTTATATAACTTTGTTTGCGGCCGGCGGACACCTTACACCGGAGCCCGCAACTTCCCACAAGGTCACCGCTGCCGCCCTCTGCGCTCTGCCGCCCCGAGGCCTCGGTGGCCTTGTGGGAAATCCGGGCCTGACTTTATTGTGCAGCCTTGTAAACGGGCATTAGAGAAGAAGGGAATCTAGATAATGACCATAGTTTTCTTCTGTGGGATTACAGGACAGTAAATAAGGTGTTTGTTAAAAAAAATTGTGCTTCCACCCTATTTGACCGGGATTTTATTGTCTAGGCATACACGTTTATATATTTCCTAATGGGCATTAAGAACTCCACTATTGCAATAGCAAGTCAAAGTTATATTGTTTAGTGCCTATTTAGGGTAATATTTTCCTATTATGTGAGAAAACAGAATTTATCACAAATATCCCTAAGAGTATACAGATGCAAAATGTGCTATAGGATGCATGGCCACAATTAGTGAAATCTACTGTAGTCAATGCTAAAGTACACAAAAAAGTCTTGTGTAAAATAGTATAAAATGCATAAAAACTGATCTGTAAAATGTTGTGCATCATTAGAAATATTGTAAATGTTACACCTAGATACGACTTTTTAAAGGCCAACCCCAGAAAAATAATATGGTTCTATTATTAGGCCCATGTGGTGGGTGAAAAGCATCAGAGAGCAGGAAATCCAGGCGGGGTCTTCTCTTGTCCATCTGCATCAATTAAATCTTTTTTTGGGGATGCTGGACATATACTGCAGAGTACACAGCTTAATTGTTTTTATTACGATGGCCCACGTGGGAGCAGGGATGAGGATTGAGCACCAAAGTAGAATCGGCACCAGGGAGTCCCATTAAGGAAGCCGGGCAGTGTGTAATGACTCGCCACATGGCTTCCCGATTAGCCGGGAAGCCGTCTCCATTATCACCAGGTGATGAGGAAGCATGGAGCTGGCTTTCTGGCCAATTAGGAAGCCGAGGGGCAGGTAATGATCAACCAATCAGGAAGCTGGACGGCAAGTCATTACTTGGCGCCTGGCTTCCTGATTGGCCAGGAAGCCGTCTCCATGCTCCCTCGTCACCTGGTGATGTAGAATGAGGAAGTTGGGCGCCAAGTAATGACTTGTCGCCCGTCTTCCTGATTGATCGGGAAGCTTGACAATCAGGAAGCGAGTTATTACCCACTTCCCAGCTTCCTGATTGGCCAGAAAGCCTGTTTCATGCTTCCTCGTCACCCAGCTTCCTTAATGGGACTTCCAGTATCGGTATTGGCGAGTACCGGAAAAAAAAATATGCATCCCTATTTTTAATGTGGTGAAGGATTAGAACCTCCCTCCCTTTCCTAGACCCACCTGTTGTGCAATCACTCCATTCAATGCAGAGTAAATCAAACTGAGTTGAGACATCATGTATGATTAACTAAACCCCATTAATATCACAGCCACAAGAACTCATTTCAGATATTAATTGGCACTGAACATAACAATGTCACATGATCTAAGGACTTGCTATATCTACTTGTAGGTGCTGAGAGTTCCCATGAGCCCTCAGTAGTAGGACAGTGGGAGCACACCAGCATTCCAGAATGTCAATGACAAAATAGCTGACAACACTTTGGACAGGTTTTGTTTCTTAATGTATTAGGAGTAATGTAATGTAAACATTACAGGAGTTCTAAAGTCACAGCACATATTATCCTGCTATAACATCAGCATTGTTTTTCATAAGGCAATCAAAGCTTACTTTAAAAGAAATCTATTTTATTTAGTGAGTGTCACCTTCTGTCTGTTCATCACTTTCAACAACTTTCTACATCTCTTTCTCTGCTGCTTGATGTGATACAATCTCGATTTCTCAAGACTACATAGCCCATAATAAATTGTTTCCAGCAAGCAATGATAATGTTACATTGTTCAGATGTTGAGTTGTAGGTCGGTAGGCAGGCTCTGTTAGTTGTGACACAAGGAAGTGTACATTCACAGGCCTGACAGAGTGAAATTGTGTTAGTAAATTGTGGAAGCACATTCTATGGGAACCTTCAATAAGGACATTTGCAAACTTTTAGATTGAGAAGGTTATTGGGAGTGGGAGAGAACTTATGGAAATTCAATAGGGCATACATATTTTGTAAGTTTTTGACCATAGATACCCTTTAACTAAAAGAGCAAGGCTCACAAATCAGCTTTCGGCATTCCATTGGCAAAGTACAAAGCAGCCACCCTCAGAGAATCAACTGAAATCATTTGTTTAATCTGCAATCAAGAAGCATAGTGTTTACATTCGCTTCAGCTGAAGCGTAGCAAGTCCAGAAGCTGATTGTTCAAAGGAGAACTATTGGGTTAAGGCTTTTCCCCATAGTTCTCCTTAGGGTAACGGGAGGACACAAACTAGCGTCCTCCCGTCACCCTAGACTCAGTATATATTGAGACGCCGCAGTATACCGCAAGCTGCTGCTCGCAGTATACTGAGACGCCGCAGCTGAAGCAGATCCCGACAATTATCCCGGGATCCGCCCAGCTGCGTGACTGACAGCTGGCTCTGCCTATCTAGAGGCAGAGCCAGCTGTACCCTCCCCCGTCCGTTCCCCCAGTCAGCGCTGGCGGATTGGAGCGGGGAGGGGGGAATCCAGCCCTCCCCCTGTCATGGTAGAGAGCCATGACAGGATCGAGAGGTGAGCGAACGCCTGTATGTGTTCGCTCACCTCCCGATCTACTGAGGCGACCTGTGACAGTCTCGTTGTCACAGATCGGCTAGAACTATGAGGTGAGTGAAAAGCACTCACCTCATAGTTCTCCTTTAAGCTTCTGGGTTTAACGCTGCAGTTTCAGTGCTAGCAGGGGCCTGCAGGAGCCACTAGGACCAGCTACCATTTTAAAATCCTGCTATCCCAGCACCTTTTTAAAAGAGCATCTGAGACCCAAGTGGTTAAAAAACATATATTATAATATATTAAATGGAACCAGTCACTTTAACTCACCTCTAAACAAAGCTATAGAACGGGAAAATGACAGGAGACCAAAGAGCAGAACAGTACCAAGTGCCAGCCAGTTGGAAGAGACTGTGTAATGTTCCAGACGATATCGCTGGAATAAGAAGTGGTAACATTTCTAGAAAGATAAAAACAATATAAGTCTTAAATTAGCAGCAATACTTGCGATTACACAAAGAAAAGCCATTCTGTACTACATTAGAAAATACATTTTTGTACTTCTAAAATCCTTTTCTTGGAAGGAAAAAAGTCTTAAACCTTCGGATTACACTGTTGCCTACAATAGGATTGGACATTGGCAAACAAAAAAACTGTAGACCAGCCCAAGGTATAATCCCATCTACTACCAGCATGATTTTATGGTGAATACAAAAGTCCTATTTTCTTTCTCATCCAAAAAAGGACACAGGAAACCTTTAGGAAATCCAAACGCAGTCCAACTCATGGTAGTTCAGCAAACAACTGCCCAACATTGCAACAAGAACTGGGGACTGCCTGAACTTCCCAGAACCACCTTAAGGACCAGCATCACATGAGAAAAATATGACAACATGGAATAACTTAGAGAATGTGTGAACAGAAGACCAGGTGGTAGCCTTGTAAATCTGTAAAACAGTTGCCTGATGTAAAAAGAAAAAACTCAAAAAGCACTTTGCAGTTTGTGCCTTAACAGGAAACCAGGGAGCCAGATACTTGAGACTATAAGCCTGAACGATGGTCTGTCTGAGCTACCTACATATGGTGGAATGACAAAAAGGGAATCAGTCTTTTTGAAGGACAAAATATTGTGTTGCAGAAGTCAGGAGTGAAACTGGGCAACAGGAACTGCCTCATAGGAGGATACAATCAGCCCTAAGACTAACGTATAGAGTTGGATGACTTCTGAAGAGTTTGAACATAAGCCTAGAGTCAGAAGCTTGTCCCAAGGAAAGAACACTCTGGCCTAAGATGCATTCAGGACCACACCCACATACACCAAGCAATAAGTAGGTTTCAGCGACAATTTCTGAAGATTCAGGATCCACCTGAACCACTGTAACCATTGTACAGAAATGCAATGTGTGACATAACCCTCGTCAACGGTTCCCTTATCAGGTCAATGGGATTTTGACCAGTCAGATATGGTCTGACAAAGTAAAATCACAGCCAGAATTGGATGCAGGGACCAGTCAGCAAGAACAGAGATCTGGAAAGGGTTATACACAGGGCTAGCCTTTTTTTTGCCAGTGTCCAACTCCCCTGTAGGCAGCAGTATAACACAAGGGTTTTACCTTTTCTGTGGACCTCAGCTGAGAGAAAATAACCAAGCTGCCAATGCAACACTTCGAGTAAATACACATTGATGAAATTGCTTCAAACAAATGAAAACACGTCAGAAAACAATGGTATGTTTATTAAGGATTTAACAACAATTGCTGAAATGTTCCAACTTGAGTTCCCTTTTGGGATACAGTTACATCAGTGGGTTTGGTTCCGCTTTAAATGGAGAACTGTTATCATAACTACATACAACTGACATCCACTTATACTTTGCATTTGTGCTTACTCCTTTTTATCTTGCTACTTAATGCAAAGCTTACAGAGAAAACAATTTAAAGCTTCCTCATGTTTTTACCTAACACAAGGAGCTAACAGGGAGAATTGGGCCTATGGAGCGTCCTTATGGACTCCATTTTCGTCTATTATACTGCAGTGATGTTAACCAAGTAGTTTGTAGTTTGTTTGTGCTTCAACCACACAGTCTTTTTCATATCCACGTCTCTACAATTAACACCTTTTCAGGATAAAACGTGTCGGGGAGAAGCTGTGTCCGATGAAGTGTAAGATACACTTGGAACTTTATTATATCTTAATTCATGATGATGAGTACAGTGTGTATCCTGCACTTGTACTTCTGGATTGGGGATGGACCAGTCCATGGAAGGTTGTTGCAACAGCACCTGCATCTAACACTGTAATTATAACTACAATATGCTATAGGTTGTTGCTCTTTTGCCCCTATTCTTAATAATTAATGTATTTAAAACATCACTGTCAAGAACTTAACTAAAAGTATAGAGAGAGAGATGAGGGAGAAGCAAGTTGGAAAGAAAAATGAAGAAGAGAAAAGGAAAAACTATATCCCAACTTGAGCAAGATTCATTTCTTGAAAACTACTAAAACAAACAAAACCAAATCATTTTGAAAGATTGCTCTAGGACCTAGGTTACTCAGTAGGTACTGGTGCCAGGACCAGGATAACCAGCTCGAGAACATCCACCGTTTTGAAACACATTAGCATTGCCCATTCTCACATTTCTGTACTAAGTTTAAGTGAATTTTCCAGGACTTAGCAATTTCATATTTTGGAAATCAGTCTATCATTGATATCATAGATTACTTTGTTCAAAACTTACTCTTAGGTATATTTCTGTAAATTAAGTGTGCAATCCACTTCTTTTTGAGCTTAAGAGGATCACCTCGAAACGCGTTGCTCCTCCACCACTAGCTACCGATCACCGCCCCGTGCACGTCCTTTCCTGGCCGCTTGCCACCTTCACTGTATCACTTTGAAAAAACACAGCGGCTAAGAACAGAGGCAGCCTCTCCACCAGTCCTCTGGCACACACACTCCTTAGTCCCAATCTGCCCACTGCTTCATTTTTTTTGATCCCCTGTTCAACCAACACGCCTGATGCCACAATTTCCAGCTGCCATGTCCAGATCATAGGACCTTCTTCGCTCTGCCCTGACTCCTGTATCTGGTGGCCACCACACACCACTTCTTGCACCGCCAGAACCTCCATCGGGGGCCGCCCCGCGCCCGTACCCCGGGCACCACAAGTAGGTTCCCCATTTTTGTTCATTTCTCCTATCTGAATCTCACATAGAAGATTTGTCTCCACACCTTTTACACCCTTGGATTTTGCGCTCTTATTGCTCCAAACCCACTTTATATGGCAGTAGGCCATTACCAGAATCTCTGGACCAAATAAGGCACATCTGTCTACATCCACAGAAGCACAATAGAGGACCATGCAAACTAACAGAAGCAATTCTAGCAGGAATCATATTCTATCCAATGAAAACTTTCTAGTTTGATCCTACTGGATTCCTTTTCCGAAAAAGAGCAAAACGTCTCCCACATATCTACACACATTTCTTTTGACATGGATCCTTGTGCTTTCTGGAAAGGTTACAGACAGCTCATGTTTTATTTCATGAATGATTCATTTGCTTTTGTTCTTCTTTAGAGTCCGGTTGTTGTTTTTTCTTTCGCACTTATAATTAGGATATGACTGAATATAGAAATGAACCCAATATCATCAAATGTGTATCTCTTGCTAAAATGCTCCTTTAAGCATCCCATTATTTTAGCAATGTACAAATTGAAACTTTTTCAAAAGAACTAATTGATTCTAAAACAATTTGACGTTCCCAAATAGTTCATGCATCAAGTGCAAATAGCTTCCTTTAGCACATGATGGGTTACATTTCCAATGATCATTGTTAGAAAGCTCTTTATGACTCTCAAAAGCCGAACAACACAACAGATGATTGAGCATCTGAAATGGTCTACTATTGTGAGACATTTTCCGCTCTAAAACGGAGACATCTTATTGTTCTACTTGAAGCGTCCTTACTCATTTCAGCAATTTCATTGGACAAATGGAAAATAATAATCATGTAGCATATAAAAACAGTGCTGGTACTTAGTCTTATACTTTGAAAAGGTTAGTGTTCAGAAAACCTTTCCAATCCACTGTTCTGACAAAGTGCACATTTATTGATCTGTATCATCATGCTCTGAATGCCCAGCCTTGTGTTGGGCATGATGAAACAAGAGAAGAAAAAGTATTAAAGAGTAAGTGCACTTTTAACACAGATAAGTTTATTTAATAAAGCTGGGCAAATATATGCCTTACATTTCCCTATCCCTGATGTCCACTGAAAGCTGTACTGGGATCATTAGTAGTTTGTCCAGGCCAAATATTCTTTTATTTCCTGAAAAGGTCATCTTTAAACAACTGTGCTCTTTGCATCTGTTTGTATTTAATAGAACATTCCTGGTATTCCATATACACATGACCCGTTTGCCAGTTTATCACTGGCCTGTAGGAATAAGCAAAGAGTATGCATATCATTTTTATATACCACTTGAAAACATCTCCTAATCTCTCCTCCCTATACCTGCAGCAGTGCAAAGGTGAAAGTGTATACTTTCAGACATCAGTCAAGGCCTGTGCTGTATAAAAATGATGAATATCACAAAGATGCACTTATTCTTGAACAGTACTTTTAACAGTTTGTGTTTTTGTGTGAGCACAGCCACACAAAACCTAATAAGGGTAACTCCACTTTAAAAAAAAATAAAAACATCTTTAAAAAAATGATATCAGAGTAGGGGGAAGATCTGTCAACCTTTGCAGCCACCTGTTCCCTGGACATGTCAGACATTTGGGTCCACATGGTAATCAGAGGCTACAAGCTACCTCTGTCCCCCTTCATGTTGTCAAACCTGCTAATGTCTGCACAAAGATTTGGCGCAGTTTCTATTTTAAGGGCTTATAGCCATTGTTCTATAAAAGGAAAGGTTACAGGGTTTCAAATCTTATATGTATACAGTTCTCAAAGAAAAAGGGGGCATTCGCCGCATTCTGGACCTAAATGTTCTTAATAAATTCCTTTTGGTTATGGATATCCACATGGAACTTTCAAGGTTGGTCATTGCTTTACTCTATCTGTGGGACTTTCTGGCCTCTGTAGACATCAAAGATGCCTACATGCTTCTTTCCAGCACATCAATACTTCCTGCATTTTGCAGCTGGAAAACAACATTACCAGCTTGTGGCCCTCTCCTTTGGTTTATCCATCGCACCTTGGGTTTTCACCAATGTGCTAGCCCCTGTACTTTCTCGGCTTCACTCTTGGGGCATTTCCATAGTGAAGTACCTGGAACTAAGCTCCCCTTGCTTCCTGTGAGACAATGACAAGGTACTAATGCTAACGAAGGGAAGGGGGGAGGAGTCCGGTGACGTTGATGCCCGTGACGTCACCGGGCTCCTCCCCCCTTCCCTTCGTTAGCTGACGGAGCCACTTCGGCCGGTTAGTTTTCCCAAGAAACTCTCTGCACGAGCGTCAGCCAAGGCATTGGCCTATACACATGCAGCACAGCAATTAAGTAATCAAATTAACTAGGATCACACTAATGCAGCACGTTATTATTACGAGTTGCCCCACTCAAGCGGCGACCATATTGAGTGGGGCACGTGAGATTAATAACGTGCTGGATTAGTGTGATCCTAGTTAATTTTATTACTTCATTGCTGTGCTGTATGTGTATAGGCCAATGTAGTTGGATCAGTATGTGCGTTATAATTATTCGAAATTAATCGATTAAAAAAATTTCGATTCATCGAACACTAAAATTTGAATCAGTAACAGCCCTAGTACTAAGTAATATTTTAACAAGTAAAATCCAATTGCATATTTAAAATGGCACCTGGGGCTGAAGTGGTTATTAATTAATTATATCCTTCACAGCAGACGGGCACTGAAAATTAGAAAGCCGTTACTCCCTGACCTAATGTCAGATGGGAACACATTGTGTATTGCAGGCAAATGGGACTTTCTGTTCCTGTGTCATGTGACAAAGAATGCACATGAAGCCAACTTTCACTTCCCAGCAGCACAACAATTGCCACCCTAACAAGTAGTTCTGTGTGGGTGGAGGACAGTGATTAATGATTGCTGGGATGCTGTAAGACAAAGAGGTAATAATAAACACTATTCCAAAAAATACCCACTAAAGCCAGTAATTCAAGCTGCTAGTTGGGGGTAAACTAAGTGTCTGCAGTTTAGTCCATATTATGTCAATGAGGGTTTACTGCACAATAGCAGCCAGCAGTGAAGATTTCCACCTGGAAGAGGTAAACAGTGGAGGAGGAAGCAGCTACCATAGTGTGATCAGGGCAGCCATCAGAAATTTTGGGGCCCCTTACACAGCTTTAGGCCGGGCCCCCCCCACCGCACCGCCACCACACTGAGCCGGTCACACTGTCATTATACATTTATATAGCTCTGACCTATACCGCAGTGCTGTACAGAGAACACCGAGACAGTCACATCAGTCTCTGTACAGAGGAGCGGCTGCTGCGGCGGAATCTGGCGGCGTGGCGGGAGAACCGACACTGCTGCGCTAGGAGAGGGCTGAGGAGGACTCTCACCTAGCACAGCAGAAATCACACAGCGACCCACAGGTTGAGAGCCACTGCTATAGGCAAAGACAGGACCGGGCTCTGCAGCTGGAACTAGAAGAATTGGATTTAAAGTCTGTGGCCTTTATAACGTATTTGGTGGGTCACAGTCATGTGACCAGCTCCTGGGGTGGGCGGGGCCGGCTGTGCTATGTGTACGCCGTCAGAATTAAAAAAAAAAAAAACAGCATAGGAATGCATAGCTAGATTCCTATTGGCTATTTCACTTTGCAATAGCCAATAGCAATCTAGCTATTGCACCCCGCCGTCTGCTGCTTTCAATCACTATAAGGGGACCTGATGGAGAACTTCAGGCCCCCCTCTGCTGATTGGCAGCAGCAGAGGGCGGGTGCAATAGCTGGTTTGCTATTGGTTATTGCAAAATGAAATAGCCAATAGGAATCTAGCTATGCATTCCTTTGGTGGGGGGTTTTTTCTGACTGACGGCAGCCTGCGGCCCCGATGTCAGAAATTAAAAAAACAGAGCAGAGAAAGGTTTACTCTGCTCAGTCGAGCAGAGTAAACCTTTCCGGGAGAAAGTTTTTTTTTCTGACTTACAGCGGCTCCGATGTCAGAAAAAAAACAACAGAGCAGAGAAAGGTTTACACTGCTCAATCGAGCAGAGTAAACCTTTCCGGGAGAAAGTGTTTGTCTCCCGGGCGGCCGGGAGCCGCTAGGCGACCACTGGCAAATCCAAATTCGACCCCCGATGGGGTGGCGACCCACAGGTTGAGTGCCGCTGTGCTAGAGTCTTCTAGCCGGTCCAGAAGAATGAATAACAACTAGGCGAAGCCGGCTGTGACGTCACGGCTGGCTCTGCCCAGCTGTTATTGTTTAATGAAACATCAGCATCCCCAGGTCATTTGGGGATGCTGATCTGTCATTACAACTGGGCAGAGCCAGCAATGAGATCACGGCTGGCTCCACCCAGCTGTCATTTGCAGGGCCTTCGGCAGGCCGTTCACCGTGCTTCGACTGTCCCTTCGGCACAGTCGAGCCAAAGCATATGCCTTTGGCTCAGCTGAGCCGCTCGGCCGCCTACGGCTGCTGTACGGACTGAACCGAAGGGCTCCGGCGGCTGAAAAGAGCCGATCCTTTGTTTCCTTCGTGAATAACTCCCTTTGTCTTTATAACACAGTATGTGACTATATCACAGTTCAATGCAAAGCCAAGCAGATCATTAATAGACATTTTAACAAATATGGTTAAAACAACAACCAGTAACCCAGGCAGTACAGATGTATACCCTATAATTTGCAGCAAACACACAAACATAAAGTCCTTGTCTGCTGGCTTGTAGCCAATGTGCTCAACAAAGGTAATCTGTTTATACATGAATACACTGTCTCAGCACTTGGTACAACCAGGTAATAAATCAATACTGACTATGTAAAACTGTCTGAGAGAGCTCTTGTCAGGCAATTTGCAAGCAAAACGGATTTTCTTTGAAATCCTGCATGTTGTGTTGTGTAAGCTTTCTTTAAAATAAATGACTTCCTTATGTCCCTGAAAGACCCTGCGTCACTCAATCCAGTTCAATTGCGCCAGTTGCACAGGTGTCTCCTGCAAGTATGTGTGAAGGGGTAACCTTTGTTTACAATCAAAATATAGAGTTTTTCTAACTTAATTTACACATGAAAACAAATGTATAAAAATATTCAAGACCCTTGATATAGGAGCTAAACTAAAAAAAGTTTTGGCTTTACATACACTTTAAAGTACAGTATATGTTAACCTAACTAGGGTTGCACAGATACCAAGTACAGTACTCGGTACAAGTACCGATACTTTTGAGTTCCAAGACTACACTAGAGAAAAATTCAAAAATTAGTAGGTAGCTGTCATTTGTAAGGAGCACACGGGGCTCCTGGGATTTGTACATCTCTGTTTTAATGTATGATTTTGTTTTTATAAATAAAGTTATGCACAGATACCAGTTTGCGAGTACGAGTACTGGTACTTGCCGAGTACTTACAAGTATGAGTACTGATACATTTTTGTTTATTGTCATGTGACAGTTTTTCTAAAACAATACAGACTAATGATTTCAGGACCGTGGTGGAGTGCCAGAGCTAGGTCCCAGCTGCAATTGGTACTCGAAAAGTATCTGGGCATCCCTAAACCTAACCATTAAAATCTTTTTAGGTATAACATGTTAAAGTCATTGCCAAAGTCTTTTTCCCTTTTTTTTCAATCTGCAGCATTCATTAAAAAATATCTGTAATCTTACCATAAAGGTCACTGTTGATACACTTACCGTTACAGGGTGACAACACTCTGTTCCTGTTTCTCAATTGTGTTCTAGCCTTTTCTCATGACATGGGCTTCCAAAGGGAAATACAAGTGGCCAATTCAACTAATATATACAAGCATGGACCACTGTTGTCACCATAAGGAAATCATCCCATAAAAATGCCATGCAGAGCATGCAAGCAGCAACTCTAGTACGGTTAATCTTTAAAGAGACCCTGTTGCCAGACCAATCATTTCAACAAAAACTCCCTGTAAAATTATATGCACATTTAATGTATTTTATGCATGTTATTTACACGTAGAAGCCTCCATTATGTAGATATCCAAAAGGCATGAGACTGCTGCCAACTTGCATGTGAGCAGCCCCATCAGACTTAGAATGATCACTCAAGTGACTTTCTACAGTAGTCCCCCTTGCTACTCCCCCAGCAGCTACACAAAAGGTTATGTAGGGAGATGAAGGGAGGGGTGGAGGATCTAGGCCAGCACAGCAAGTAATTAGACACTCCTAGAAGAGGAAAGAGCTATGATGTGCAACGAGGGAGGGGGCTACACTAGGCACTGGACTCCTTCAGGTGTATTCACATTTTCAAGCAAGTTAAAATGAACACTGCAACTTAAAAGAAATCATTGAGGGAAAGAAAAAATAACTGCAATTAAGCATTTAAAATACCGGACTTTTCTGTGCTTTTACCTGCACATTTTACGTTGGTGATAGAATCTCTTCCAGCATGTATTTTCAATATATATCACTAATGATACAGTTTCAAAAGTACATTACCTGTAGCGCAGAAAGAGCCACTGCCCCACACAAGCAGATCAGCGGGTAAATAGGGAAAAGAAATCTCTCCTCCTTATGGGGCCTTGTGAAGAAAACCAAAATCCAAATATACATTGGAGCCAATGTTAGCCAGTATGGACTCCCCAGATTCTGAACTGCTGGAGCAATAACATGGTGGTGTCAGTACTCAATTCTGAAAAGTGTATAAAACATTTCTAAAAAGCTGGCTGCTAGGATGATTAGTGTACATTTATTCTTAATGCATTGCTAAAGGAAGCCTCTGACAAATCCTTTACAGAAGCAACAAAAATTCTACAATTGACTTTTACATTAATTTTACATTTATACTGCACAGAATACATTATTGCTTTGTCACAGAAACACACTCACGATTCTACATCAGCTGCAAGAATTTTAAACTACACCAAGTGCCTTAGAATCCTGAAAATAGAATAAAAAATAGCTGCTTTCATGGAAAATAGACATCACTGTATTCTTTAGGTCTCGTTCACACCTAGGCGTATTGCATATGCGCGACCGTCGCGCGGTTTTTTAGCGCGATTTGCGGTAAAAAAGTTGTGCGACCGTCGCGCGTTTACGAAGGCTACTTGGCTGTATCCCAATGGAAACGCGCAACAAAACGGCCCAAAGTAGTACCTGTACCTTTTCAGGCGTGGGCCGTTTTGTAGCACGTTAGGGATGGGCGGAAAGATGCCAAGGTGGGAACGAGACCATTGAATAAAATGGGATTTATATTTTTGAGCGTTTTGTAGAGCGTTCGTCGAGCGTAGAACACGCTACAAAACGTTCAGGTGTGAACGAGGGCTTAGGGGCTTTTAGTGTTTCCACCTTATAAGAGTAGTGACTATTTGCTCACCACTTATCTTTAACATAAGATGGATCACCACATGAGGCCCACTGGAAGTCTCAACTGTTTGTCACATTATTATATATGACATCTATGCTACTGATAGCCTGTTTGTTTTTTCTTTTCAGAACATCTATAAACCAATAACAATGGCTTGTTGTGCACATGTGCTGAATATTACAGCAGTACATTTGATGCTCTGCAAGGGCACATCTGTCAGGTCACTTTGAATGGTATCTGTGTTGAGTTCCTTTTACATCCTTTGTGTGTATGCAGAACTATAACAAGGAACTTATCTCAAGTGCTCCTTGTTTATTTCATACAAGGCATTGTTATATCTGCTCAATTAGTTTAGAACATATCTGTTGATTTTGTCAGAAATGTTGTAAGCTAACAACTCCCTGTCCTCTTTGCCTGTACTGACTGTTATTAGTTTGTACAGCCCCCAGTATTTTCTGAGGACTACAGAATCCCCATGTTAAGAACAACAGGGAGAGCTGTTCTGCAATCTAATACTTTGCTCCTACATAGATACAGTTTGGGGAATAAGCATGGTCATACTAGTACAGAATGTGTGTTAATGGCAGAATCATCACGTAGGCTGGAAACAAAATTAAAAGAGAACTATGGGGTAAGTGTTTTTCCCCATAGCTCTCTTAAGGGTCACTGGAGGACATATACTAGCGTCCTCCCGTGACCCAAAGCTCAGTATACTGCGAGCTACAGCTCGTGGTATACTGAGACCACCGCAGCCGGGACGGATCCCGACATTACTGTTGAGATCCACCCAGCTGCGTGATTGACAGCTGGCTCTGCCTGTCTAGAGGCAGAGCCAGCTGTACCCTCCCCCTCCCCCATCTGTTCCCCCAGGTCAGCGCTGGAAGATGAAGGGGGGGAATCCCTGTAGGGAGCCGTGACTGAGAATCACGGCTCTCTGCAGGAAGATGATCGAGAAGTGAGCGAGCAACGGTATGTGTTCGCTCACTTCCCAATCTATTGAGTCGACGTGTGACAGTTTCATTTTCACACGTCGGCTCGAACTATGAGGCAGAGTGATTTTCACTCACCTAATAGTTCTCCTTTAATGCAGCCACTAGATCTAAGGAACGGTATGCTACAATATATTTCATTTTAGTTCTTGGGTTTACACACTGCTTTAAGGTCCCCACACACCTTACGATAATCGCGGGAAATCCCACGATCGTACGATTATCGCAAGGTGTGTGGAAGCCGTGCGCCCTCTACTACTGTAAGGTCGCACGACTTTAAACTTACAAACATGTTTGCAAACCCGCCGAGCATCGTACGATGTTCGGTGGGTGTGTAGCATGTTCGTAAGATAAAAGCTGCGCAAGCGCACACTGCCCGTTCGCCATTGCGATCATCGCAAGTACGATCTGCCTATGCAAGATAGGCAGATCGTACGTTTTTTTTAAGTACCTTACAACCATCGCAAGAAAAAAGTCTTGCGATGGTTGTAAGGTGTGTGCCCAGCCTTAAAGCCTCACTTTGTATACAGGATATACAGTCTATACCTTTTTAGTGCTTCCACGTGCACCAAGACATGTAATAAGTGGGGGTAGCCCCAAGAGTCCATAAAAGTGAGTAATACTAGATGATCCCTCATTAAAAATTCAGGAATTACATATTTCACACAAAAAAAAAATTGGGATTGATAAACACTTACTGTTAATTTTCTGCAAAAGGTACTCCATCAGCCATGTCAGGGGCAAAGCTAGCAGGGCCAAAATGAAGACTACATTGAAGTTGAGAAAGCCATTGATGAAATAGAAGGGCCAGGGTTCTGTTCCTGAAATAAAGCAAAGCAAGTCCCATTTAAATATCAAGCTGTGTATTCTTACACAAATATGACTACATGACCAATAATAATAAAGGTTAACTCCACCCCAAGCTGCCATTTATGAATTATATAATTAGGGTGAACTTCTTCAATATGCTATTATTCTTTCATTGTTCCATGACCAGGTTGTAGGTGTATTCTGCTGCATTAATGGTTGAGGATATGGCTATGCTTTTTGGCTGGACCACAAGCCGAAACAGAACAGGATAACAAATCCAAATTCTGCTGTCCAAAGTTCAGGTTTAGGGTGGATTTCAGGCGCACAGACCCAATTTGCTCCTGGGATTTCTCCAGCCGTGCACTACACAATGTTTGCCACGTCACAATTAATTTTACCGTATTCTTACTGTCTCAAGGTGATTAAACCTGTAGGTTTTCAACTAAACTAATGGCAAGACTATGATGTTGTAATGGACAGGTCATATTTAATTCAAATACCAACAAGAGCTAACAAAATGTTCTGCATATATTTTCTTGTAACAAATGATTAAACACTTGATGTGCGATGGAACATGTCAAGTGCACTTATTTGAGCTAGACAGAAAACAGCAAATGCGAGTGTAAGAGTGGCTCTATAGTACACCACATTTAAACGCCTGCAGGTTTTCATTAACTTCACAGACTCCTGTTCAGCACCCAAGGGCTCTCAACCATCACTTCAAATCGTCAGAGAGAGTAAGCGAAGATACAAATTCACCATTCTTCACTCCAAACAGATTTGGACTCACAACTTCAATTTAAGTTGTGGCTGTCTGTACTGCAGACATGACTGGAAAAGGTGCCAGTGACAGGCAACTTCAAAAAGCCATCCTATACACTTAGGATCAACAGCCATCAATCACTGAGCTTTCCATGATCACATCCGTCAAGAAAAAGGAAAGAATGCTTTCAGTCAGATGGGCATTTCCACTTTTTAACATACTTTTAAGGACTTTAAGTGTATCAAAAGCAAAATATTTGATTTGGTTTTGAATACATTATGAAAGTTAAAATAAGGATAAAAATACGATGTAAGGATATTTTCTATCTCTATTTGTCCTGCTGACCACTGTCATGGGCAAAGAAAGTGACAGGAAATATAACATGTTACATTTACTACTGAAATAGGAATAGAGTAAAAATCTTCCACCTGCTTGGTGTCAATTATCTCCCAGTATCTCCTGTAAAAGGAAATTACTTACCTGGTAGTGGGCAATGTTTTTTTGTAAAACATGTAAATAAATGTACTTCTCTATGGTACAGGTAGGGAGCCCTTGGACAATGCTACCTGGGAAATATGTGCAAATAGCTCTCTCCCTGGACAAAGAAGTCCATTTTACTTTTAGCACGGGTTAATAACTTACATAAATCTGCAAACTGCATATATCATAGAGCATATTTACACCATAACATGCATACACTGTAGTGTAGTGCACCTGATTCTTTACATTAGAGTTAGGCAGCTCACTCACTCACTCAGTTCCTACACATTTTTTTTTCCACGCAGAAAAAAAGCAATGCACAGAGCATATGCATCTGTGTGTTGTGGTGCTATATAGTGCACATGTAGTACACACACTGTAGTACTGCATTGGGGTGCAAATATCTTTGCATTTCACATGTATATTGCATTGCTGTGCAGTGTAGTAAGGCACGTTATGACATGGGTCATGACATGTATTGCGGTGTGTATTGGCCCTCATGCACTATAAATCTTCATGCCTCCAACATAGGTTGTAGATATGCAATTAGCCCGGAATTTGCATTTTCAAATGGTTGCATAAAATTACTCTGACTTGGACATATTGGGGGTCTGAACAGTATATATCTACTAACATTAAGCAGAACTGCTGTACCGCTTATACTACTACATACAGTATATTGCAATATTCCATTTTGCTTCTGTAGTTCCAGGGGTGTGGAAAATTTTAAAAAAAAACTACTTTTCCAAGGGCTAAAGTGGGGGCCGAATCTACTTGTCCCTCATGACAATCTACTTGTCCCAATACAAAAAAATTGCTTTAATCAAAACTAGGGATGCACCAATATAGGTTTTTGGGTATCGAGCACCAGCAATGATTCTGTTTGCCCGGGAAGCCTGCTAAATGCCATCAGGAAGCAGGGCAGCAGGTAATTACGTGCTACCCAGCTTCCTGATTGCCAGGGAAGCCGACTCCATGTTGTTTGGCCAGCTTGATCGTGGTTGGCCAGGAAACCAGCTTCCCAGCCAATCAGCATCGAGCCAGCCAATCAGGAAACCGGGCGGGGAATAATGGCCTGATTGGCCGGGAAGCCGGCTTCCCACCCAAATCAGGAAACCGGGGTGGGTCATTAGTAGCTGCCCCGCTTTCTGATTGCACGGGAAGATGGCTCCATGTTCCCCTACGGCACTGCCGGTCAGAGGAAATCTTCCGCTGACCAGAAGTTCCAGTATTGGGGAAGGTATCGGAGCATTTGGGCGAGTACAAGTACTTGCCCAAATACTCTGTAACTGTGCATCCCTAATCAAAACTGTATTTGACTGTGCTGAATAGTGCTTCTCATTGGTCAGCGTGGTCACCTGACCAATGAGTGCTTGCAATTTGCCAGCAAAATTCTAAATGCATAGGGCTGGACTGTACAGGCGGAGGGTAAGGACTGTTCACCAAAAAGTAAGTATAGCCAGGGGGAATGGGGGAGAGGCCGGGCCAGATTTGATTGGGTAATTCCATTTTCCCATATTACTTGGGAAAGTGAGCTTGCTCTTTAACCACTTCAAGACCAGGTGTTTAGACCCCCTTCCTGGCCAGGCCATTTTTCAGTATTCAGCGCTGCAGTACTTTGACTGACGTTTATTCCGTCATGCAACGCTGTACTGAAATTAATTTTATACCATTTTTTGGGGACAGATAGAGCTTTATTTTGGCGTTATTTATTCACCACTGCGGGTTTTTTTTTTAACTATAATTAGGAAAAATTGAAAAAAAAAAAAGTATTTTTTTTACATTATATGTTAGGAAACATTTATTATTACCCAGTTTATTTGGTAAATGCTCTACAGCTGGCGGATCGCTTGTATGGTAACAGGCATCGCAGCCTGTTTTTAAATAACGGCCGAGCTGCACGCGCGTGGGGGCGTGTCTGACCGGACGTCTAAAGACGCCCGCTCAGATCTAGAGAGCTCGTTTTTTTACTACGGCCGGCCCAGAGGCAGTTAAAGGAGGACTATGAGGTGAGTGATTTTCACTCAGCCTCATAGTTCGAGCTGACGTGTGACAATTAAACTGTCAAGTTTGGCTTTACAGATCAGGAAGTGAGGGAACACATACCGGCGCTTGCTCACTTCTTGATCCTGTCCCTGCAGAGAGCCGTAACTGTCACACACACGGCTCCCTGCAGGGATTCTCCCCCTCCCCGCTATCCCAGCACTGACTGGAGGAACGAACGGGCGGGTACAGCTGGCTCTGGCTCTAGATAGGCAGAGCCAGCTGTCAATCATGCAGCTGGGTGGATCTCGACAGTAATGTCCAGATCCGTGTCGGCTGCGGTGGTCTCAGTATATAGTGAGTTTATGTCCTCCCGTGACCCTTAGGGGAACTATGGGGAAAAACACTGACCCCATAGTTCTCCTTTAATGCACATTGTGCATGAAGGAGAGTTCTGCTGCTTGGCTACCACAATATGGTACACAGTGGTATGGCGGTAGCACTCAACGCACATGCACAATGTCCTATGCATGCATTTATTTGCATGCAGATGACGGTGGCAGCGGGGTTGGTTTTCACTTTTTTTTTTTTCACTTTTTTTATTTTATAACTTTATTTTTTTTAATTTATTATTTTTTCATCACCTTTTGTGAGGTGGCTACTAGATTATTGTTGGCATTTATCTGGTAATTCCAGATGTTCTGGCATTGACTGTACCTAGCTGGGTGGAGTTTGACTTTACTGTAGTGTGGGGCATCCAATAGGGGATACTGTGAGTGCGTGAGCAGTTCAGCAGCCAATCACTGGGGTTCTCTCAAAGAGTGTTGGGGTAATGTCCAACCGCCCCCCCCACCCCAGGCTAGGCCTGGGGGTAGGGATGCTGGAGTGCGGGAAGTGTTTCGCTAGGCCTCAAGTATGGAGGTGGCCTGTGCTGTTGTCAGAGGAGGAGAACCAGTGAAGCTGATGGCTGCTGGAGATCCCTGCTCATCTTCAGCTCAAATACCTATTAAATGATGGTACAAATGGATCTACATTGAATTGCCAAAAAGGTACTGGTGAGTATGGAGTCTATGTCTGTACTACCCTGGATGTCTAGGATCCCTATACCCTCTCTCCCCAGTGTAAATATGTCAATAAAAGATCTTCAGCATTATACTTTTTGGTTGGAGTGGATGTCAGTTCTGTGAGCACTAGAAGAGGGCAGTTAATGCTAATGGGGCAGCTGAAGACTCACACCTAGCAAAATTCCTTTGACCAGCATGGGCATATTATCCTCTAGTTAAAAACGGCATGCATGAGGACTTCACACAGCTTCCATGGAATCTGTGGCCTAAAAGAAACGGGGCTTCAAACAGGTTGTATGTGGGGGTGACAGTTACCACCTGATTAAAACTAAACTAGAGTCAATTACATTCGTCTCCCCTCCAGCAATGTAACGTCTGCCAACTCCCTTGCCGGTGCTCACATCTTGGGCCGGTCTTCTTCTGGGTTCACGTCTTTGCCCATTTTTAGCCAGAAAATCTGCATTTTCAAAAGGGGACTTCAATTGCTCTCATGGCAGGTTTCTCTAAAAATTACATTACCCCAAAACATTGTTATTATTTCATTCTCCAAACGTCTTTTTGCAATGCCGGTTAATATCTGAAAACACTACACAAGGTAAAACAGCAGTTCTTGTTTTACAGACTTTAATAAATGAGGAATGCTGTGTATTGTTCTCTGTCAGTGTGCTGGGTCTATAAAAGCAAGTTAAAGGATAAGTGCACCTTAAAACAAAGTGCATTT